AAACTCAACAAACATCTTTAGAGCATCAATATCAATTACAACATGTCAGCCCCTGCCATCAGAGTTTTTAAGGCTAATGTCACCTGAACAAAATTTGCTGAACCATTGTTAACACTTACAAACCTTCAAAACATTTCCATAAACTTCTTGGATATTTTTTGTGGCTACAGAGGCGTTGTTTCCCTTCTTGTATTCAAACAGCATTACATGCCAAATGTGTGTCTTGTTGTGTGCCATCACTATAAGGGATTAGAGTATACTAAATTTTACACATTATATAGGCTACACTAACGTGACGTTTGAGTGGTTCGTTTAACTATTATACGTGATGTACCTTTTTTGTGGAGTGGTTAATGAAAGTGTTTCAAAACATGACATTAATTTCTTGACAACCTAATAGATATGAAGCTGTTTATAACTTTTCTTCTGCAACTTTACAAGTATCACTATTAGCCACTTGCCATTGCCAAACAAAACAAAAGTACCATACTGATTTGTTATAGCTCTCTTTATTGAGCTATAATTATTTTTATACAATATTCACATTTTTCTTTATCCAGCTTTAGAGAACCACTAAAATTATAGGTCACATTAAATTCTAGGAATTAATCCCCAAAAAATGAATTGTAAGGTATACATTTCTTAGAAAACAAGAAGATAAATAAAATATTGTATTTTCATTTGATATAATTTATACTTCTATCATTTGAAAGAATACTTATCTTTATATTTTAATATCAGACATTTTATTAGATGATTGCATTTAAGCACAAAGCTACACAATGCTGTGCCCACCACGGGTATCGAAACATTACAAGTCCACAAACTTACTGCTGTACCATTGGTTGGCTTATTGCATGATAAAAGAAGGTTAAAGAAGCAAATTAAAATATTTATGCAGTATTTTTATTCTATGTTGGTCTGGTAAAATTCAAATACTTTAGCTGTAAGATTTGTTTTTACTTTTACCTTTCTCAGATTGCAAAAACAAACAAACAATACAACTCTACCTCATCAGCCATTTTTCAAGATTTCAATTTATATTGAGCACTCAATGTATTTACATACCCATCTACTTTTGCAGCCTTGTGCCAACCTCCAACTTCACCATATAGAGCATTGTCCTTTTCTTTGTTCTTGTTTTCCTCTCGTTCTTCAGCAACCTGCCAGATAGGTTTGTTGTCTCCTGAAACAACAAAGTTTCTAATTATTTCAACTTGTTTCTTAAAATGAATGAAAATTTTGCCATTTATACAAGTTGAACAAGACTGACAAGATTCATTATCCAATCGTTGAAGCTTAATCTTGTTCGTATTGGTAACATACTAGTTATAATATATTTAAATTCCATTTTAAGATTTCTGAAATTCATCACTCCAACACTATCATATCTATTGGACTAGAACCCCAAAACTGTATTAGTTTAAATAATGGAAAAGAAAAACAAATCATTTCTTTAATAAAACTAGAAGAATCCAATTATAATATACTGTTGTTGCTTACTTTCCTGTTAAAAACTGATATTTCAAAATCACCATTTTTACTTACTTATCTAAAGTAAAAATACATCAAAATATATAATCAAAAACTTTATTATCACTATATAGAAATAAACTTGGCATCTAAATGTAGTTAATAAATCAAATTTTAATATTATATACATTTTATGTTCATATTTTCATAAGAACATATATATATAAAAAATCCTCAATCTCCCCTAGTATGAATATTGTGATAATTGTTCTCTAGGTTCTCCTTCTCTATTTTATTTATTACCCTTCATAGAAGTACAGAATTGAATGCAAATTACTCATTATAATATAGATATTACCTAAGCAAAGCATAATTTTTATATCCTTCAATCTTATTTGTTTATGGAGTCATAAACTAGAAAAATCAGACCCACCTACAACGCTCACCTGTCACATCCTCTCTTTCACAAACTGCCAATAGTTCTCTCTGATACTTTATACTATATTATTTGAATCAATAGAAAGCCAAAGTTTTAATCTGTCAAGCAATGTATTATATTACTTTGTTTTCTGTACAAAAAATTATCTATTTCACTTCCAGTTTTATACTTTTTTTTTCATGGTATTTACATCAACAAACTTAGATGAATTTTTAACGGCACTTATTGCATAGTTAGAAAGCCTGAAAAATTATGATAGTTATGGGACATTGCTTGCTTTGTGCATGTTATTATTCTGTATCCTGCATTATTTAATCAAATAAAAATTATTTAGTGTAGTAGTATCATTAAAACAAAAAAAAAGTGGGCTTAAATTTCATCAACAGTTGAGATACAAAAAATGACAACCCTGGAAAGTACTATATTTTTGTTTTTCCTGTTTATTCGTTATTTATTATTATAAAATGTAAAAAAATAGAAACTAGTTTGAATATTGAAAAAAAATTCTTTACAAGATAGATATGGTCGCGAGCAGCTCATGCATTATGTAATTCAATATGGAAATGTGTGCTACACATTTGCCAAATGATTTAAAACTTGTGTGGTGGGATTCCTAGTTAGACACAGTTCAAAGGGCAATAAAACAATCAAATTTAAGTATAAACAGATGTAGACTGTTACATATTTAAAATAAACAGCTGTAGTTTCCTGTTACAATTTGTAGTCATTCTAGAAAGAAAAAAAAGAGTAATTTAGTTTTGTATTTTTTTATGGTGGTTACAAGGTCAGTCAAATTGACTGAATACGTATAGTTGGGTTTGTTTTGAATTTCACACAAAGCTACACAAGGGCTATCTGCACTAACTGCCCCTAATTTAGCAGTGAAAGACTAGAAAGAAGGCAGCTAGAAATTACCACCCACCACCAACTCTTGAGCTACTCTTTTACTAATGAACAGTGGAATTGACTGTATCATTATAAACTCCCCCCATGGCTGAAAAGGCGAGCATGTTTGTTGGTACAGGAATTTGAACCAAAACCCTCAGATTGTGAGCTGAGCGTCCTAACTACCTGGTCATGCCAGGCAAATGGATACAGAATTAAGGTAAATAAAATAACAGATAAAATTTTACAGGAAGAAAGGTTTTATATATATTTAGGAGGTTTTAGAAATTATGTAAATGAAATGTGACAACTTTCAGATGAAGAAAAGTATTTTTAATCTTGACATGAAAATCACTTTGTACTCAAAGCAGTCAACAGTCTGACTCCATATATTTAGTTTAATTTTTAGCAAAACTACTTAATTAAACAATTTGATTTTTTGTGCACAAAAAACTTGTAATGTTTACTAAGAGCTTGCTAAATTTTGTAAAGATACACAAAACATATTAAAAGTTATGTATGAAACCTCTAATGGTCACTTTGGTGATATGAATTTGTTTATTTCAACTGAGCTCATATCGCAGGCTATGACATATCCTAGGCACCAGATCGCCATGGTGACTAAAAATTTCATTGTGGCACCTAGTATTATCTCCCAGTTTATTTGTGCATAAGGTTATGCTAAATAGAACTCAAATCTTGAACAGTTCTGGAGTCTTGGAGGTCCAGAACTATTTTCTCATTCTTTGAGTCTTAAATCAAACTTTGTTTCTAGGATTTTAATGGTGGATTCAGCACTTCATGTTTTTCAGGAATGAAACGAACAGTTGCACAATGTGACTAATTTTGCACCATTATGTCTTTCTTCTTTCTCTCAATTTAACCAATCAGTGCATGTGTTTAGATTCAGACAGGACCAAAGGCAGTTAAGTTTAGGCAATATTATCAAGTAGTTGTTGTTATCATGTGATTGTTAGCATGCCTCAATTACTTTCGCTGGTCAGAGAAAATAAAAAAAATCACACAAGATAATTGAAGCATTAGTGTATCTCACTACTTAGCCCATTGTTTAATCTAAATAACATTTTCAATATATTTAAGTTCCTTGTTATTAAATTATAACCTTTTTACTGTTGTTTAATCAAATTATCATGAAAAATTATAAAAGTCATCACAATCATAATTATAAAAGCCAAGTGTTGGTCGGTCATGTTCGATTTCTCCGAATTTCGTGAATTACGTGTGTTCAATTCCACCGATAATGTGTTTTTTATGGCTTCGTGCTGTTTGTTTTTTATATTATACACATCAATCACTTATTAACGAACCATTAATACTGCCAAACTCTCTTTCATGTGCTCTTGTCAAGACTTGCTTGTAAAGTATTTCTGCTTCTTTATATTTTCCTTGTTTTAAGAAAGCTGAGGCCTGAAAAAGGCAAAAAAAAAAAACACAAGTTAAAAACTAATTAATTAATTGAACATGTAAATATCAAGTCCTACTTTTGCACTTATATTATGCTTTGGTAGTATTATGTGTGAAATTTGTATAACTAGTAAGTATTAATATGTCATTACTATTTACTACAGTAACTAAATACATCTAAAGGTTTATCTATCAATCTATAATTACTTACAAAGCTGATTCTGAGCTGTCAGCCACATTCATTTAAAACATTACTCAAACGTTATTGAGACTTGATCTCTTAACCTCACAACTAAAGAGTTCAAGTAATTTTTTTGCATTACACAAGCTAAGGAACTGAAAAAAATTTAAAGTACTATTAATTGCAAAACTAAACAAGGTAAAGATTTCTATTTTGATAGTATAAAAGCAAGCAAACATGTTGAGGTTTAGTTTGGTTTTAGTTAAGGAAAAATATAACTAATAGTTATCTGTGTTCTGCCAACCATGGGTATTGAACCCCAGTTTCTAGCATTGTAAGCCTGCAGACATACTGCTGAGTAAATGGGGCACACACACATGCAGTTAAAAAAAATGTAAAACAGAAACGATGTAGATCAAACACTTTTTGTGTAGCTTATCAGTGGATGAATTACAAAAATCTACCATAAGACATTATAACACTAAAAATGAAAACAGATATGGGCAAGATCATACAATTTCTATAGTTCATATATGGAAGGATTAAAGTAAGATAGCACTCAATTTTTATATACTAAATGTGCAAAACAAACAAGGAAGGATTAAAGTAAGATAGCACTCAATTTTTATACACTAAATATGCAAAACAAACAAGGAAGGATTAAAATAAGATAGCAATCAATTCTTATATACTAAATGTGGCAAAACAAACAAGGAAGGATTAAAGTAAGATAGCACTCAATTTTTATACTAAATGTGCAAAACAAACAAGGAAGGATTAAAGTAAGATAGCACTCAATTTTTATATAACTAAATGTGCAAAACAAACAAGGAAGGATTAAAGTAAGATATCAATCATTTTTTATTTACTAAATATGCAAAACAAACAAGGAAGGATTAAAGTAAGATAGCAATCAATTTTTATATACTAAATGTGCAAAACAAACATGGAAGGATTAAAGGGTAACTCGTATGTGAATTATTAAAAATAGTTAATACTATAATTTACTGTACTAAAATAAGAAACAACAACATGAAAAACAAAACTTTATTGTATTAAAAGACTTACAAGGTTGTTCTTTGTTTTTGCAACATTGGGATCATCAGGACCAAGGGTATTTTCATATATATCAAGTGCTCTTTGATAGTACTTTTCTACTTCTTCATATTTTCCTTGGTTTTGACAGAGTAAAGCTAAGTTGTTAAGTTGTTTTGCTACATCAGGGTGGTCTCTTCCTAAAACCTACACAAGAAGAATCCATAAGGTATGGTGAAGCAAGCTCTCATAGAGGGGCTCAAACATTTTGATCAACTTTCTAACCACCATGAAACTATAGATAATATAACTTTTTAGTAAGTGCATCTTCACAAAATTTGGCAAGGTTTTAGTAAACATTACAAGTCTTTTGTACTCAAAAAATCAGATTTTTGCTTAAGTATTTTTACTAAAGATTTGTCTTTGAATTTATGAAGTTCTAGTCAGATTCAGATTAGTCTGAGTGAAAGGCAATTTTCATGTTTAGACTAAAAATACTTTTTTTGTCTTTAAAAGTTTTAAATTTTCATTTGCATAACCCCTAGAGCCACTTAAATGAATATCAAAAGTTGTTTTTTCAGTAAAACCTGTGTTATTTTCTCTATACTAGCACTATATAGGAGCTCAGTTCATTTTACTGACCTTGTAACCATCACAAAAAACAACAACAAATATCAAAGTTCCACTTTTTTTCTTTCTTGAAGGACCACATATTGTAACAGAAAATTACAATATGTATCCTAAACAGCCTCAGATTCATAACATATTTTATTGTTTTATCTCTGTTTGAATCGTATCTAACTACTAAAAACTCACAGCAAAGCTATAAAAAAACCTGTGAGCAAATAGCTCAAGTTACAGTAAAACAAAATAATCAATTACATAATGCACAAACAGCTCATGTGCATATCATGCTGAGTTTTTAATTTTTTCCATTTACATTCTTATCTAACCTAATAACCATCTAGTTTTTATAGTTTAGTTACTTTTATAACAATAAAGGAAAACAAACTTAAAAAACAAGAAATGTAGTACTTATATGCGAGTCTTTTATTTTATTGCAGTCGAAATCTTGATAAAAGTTTATGTTTATTTTTGGTCCAGCTATTGTTAGTACTTTACTGAATTTTTATTTATTTTAAATATTCAGTTAGGAACACAATATACTAATACGCACAAATAATACAATGTCGTATACGTACTATAATTTTTATCTAAGCTATAAGTGCGTTTGAATATTTTGCTTACTTGTTCAAATAATACAATGTCGTATACGTACTATAATTTTTATCTAAGCTATAAAGGCGTTTGAATATTTCTCTTACTTGTTCAAGGTGAACTCTGCAATGGCAACTTTGAGTATGTAGACTGAATAATTCAAAAGTAGTTGTGAGAATGAGCTAACATATTATGTAATTTAGTAAATTAAAATATTCTCCTTCTGTTGGTTATAAATAATGAGTTAACACACTTCAGACAGAATTACAGACATTTTTTGAAAGGCTGTGATAAGAGGGCATGGCATGTGAATTTAACTTTCTGGTTTGTATCTCTGAAAATCAAGGTAATTGGAGGCTATAAAATGATATTATAAATTTGTTATTTGCATTAAGACTCAGGAGCTAAATTAAGGATGCAAAACATTTAAGTTGAGGAATTCAGAGAGAAAAGTGTTGCATGAAAGAGAAGAGAAGGTTGAGAATTAATTTAAATATATTTTTTGGAAATTAAAAAGTATACAATATCAATATTTGATTAATTAACTATGTTTGATGGTAACTTTATTGACATATATTGATAATGAATTAGTTTAATTACATTTTGACTGTAACACTGTAAAAAGGCTTGAGATGTGCACTTTTATCTACCCATATCCAAAGGGTTAAAATCTAATAGTAATAGAATGATTTATAAACACAGCTTTTAATATAAAAACTATTACAAGATTTAATATGGAAATATTATTGTGGTAATATTTAATACCTCCACCTATGCTGGTATTTTATTTTAAGTTTTAGTTCATTATGTAGACACTTAGTCCAAAAACCTGGTATGTTTCTAGTAAGATTCAAGGCTAGGTATGAGCCATACAAAAAAAAGAAACAATTTATTAAAATCTTAAAGTTCATTTTATAAAGGATGATTTTTTTTCACAGATATGTAAAAGGAAACAAAATGTATTCTAATGGTTTATAATAACACCTTCTGAAAACAATTACATAATTTTCTTGATCTCTCTCTTCAAACTATAGGCAGTTTTTCTTACACATTCTCAGTTTAATATTCACATATATTTCAAGTTAACATTTCTTAAACCAAAATTATTAAGCTACTTTCTTGTCTCATTTTGAGGGAAGATTTGCCCCAATATTTATTTTAAAAATTTCTGTTTGAAAAATAGCACAATCATTTTCATAACTATTCTTATATTAACCCTCTCACTATGAGAGGTCAAAGAGAGCTACATTGAAACTTAATTAATCACTTTATTTTCCTTGTATATAAATAAATATGGCATCAAAACATAGTCAATGAATCAGATTTTAATATTATACAAGTTTTAATTTTATAAGGAAATGTCTTAAAAAATCCTTAATCTCCCAGAGTATGAAAATAGTGTCATTTGTTCTCTTAGGTCTTCCCCCTACTCTAACTAATTTACCACCCCTCCAAGAAATAATGTAATGTATATTACTCATTTTAATATACATATTACTCAGGCAAAACAATTTTAATAGCCTTCAATCCTATTTGTATATGGAGCCAAAACTAGAAAATTAGACCCACTTACCATGCCCACGTCACATCCTTTCTTTCTCAAATCGCCAGTAGTTCTCTCTTGACATTGTATACTACATTATTTATAACCAACAAAAAGCCAATGTTTTAATCTATCATATGACTTATATATAACATTTTCTGTACAGGACATTGCATATTTTGATGCTAAGTTTGAAACTTTTTCTCAGGGTATTTGCAAAAATGAGCTTAGCTGAATTTTTAAAGGCTCTTATCACATAGTTACCAATCCAGAAAAATTATGATAGTTATAGGACATTGTTTGCTTTGTCCATGTTATTTTGTCTTAATAGTTGCATTACTTAATTAAGTAAAAATTATTTAGCATTGTCGTATTATTATTATAAAAAGGTAGGCTTAAGTTTCATCAACAGTCAAAACAAAAAGGCCCAGGTAAGTACTATATTTCTTGTTTTTCATGCATATTGTTTATTTATTATTATAAAAATAACTAAAATATAAAAATTGGAAACTTATTAAGTTATATAAGGTTAAATTAGGTAATATAACAAATAATAATAATTCTTCATGAGGTATGCTTATGAACAGCTTGTCTGTTACATAACTTGATATGGTAACTTGAGATATATGTTTACAGAGTACTTTAAAACTTGTGTGGCAGGATTATTAGTTAGATACAGTTCAAAGAGCAATAAACTTTAAGTATAAACAAATGTAGACTGTTAGGAGGTTCAAGCTATTTAGAATAGACAATTGTAGTTACACTACTTTGTCACAGTTTATTTCTTTTTATATAAGACAAAATAATATAACTGAAAAAAATCCTTATCACAGAATTCATATCAAGTAATAAAAAAACAAAACAAAGCCACACTACAGTGTCATATATAAATATATATTTTTTAATAAATGACAAAATATACCTGAAATTTCTCTTATTATAAAATGGATAACAATGAGTAATTTATAAACAATTACTTTTATGAGTAATGTTAAACTCATTACTTCAGAAAGGGGTACTGAAGATAATAGATGGGCAAAATGTAGCAAACAAATATCAGAATTCTAGGAGAAGGGGAGATTGAGGATTTATATCTCCTTTTTAAAATTAAGACATTAAAACTTTAATAATATTAAGACTTATATTATATTGATAATAAAGTAGTTTAATTAAATTTTGAATGTAATGCTATAAAAGGTCATGATATGTGCACTTTGACCTACCCATAGAGAGTTTGTTAATCTTTTATCCAAAACTGTTAAGTTCAAGATTTTCAAACAACAACCTCTATGTGAAGCATTTTAAATAATGCCCTGATAACACAACTGTTTAAGAAATTTATTAAATACTCTTGTAATTTTATTAATGATTTAAGAAAAAAAATTAATGATCAACTAAGGATTGTAATCATGGGATCTTACATTTTAATAAAGATTGTACTGATATCCAAATTTTCTTCTTCTCACAGTGACAATACTTGATAAAATTGCACAAAAATATTTACCCAATATGGTTTTTTCATTAAATTTCATTGAAAGGTAGTAGAAAGCTGCCTGTAGTCAGGCTTAATTGCTTATACTCTGGATACTGAACAACCATTTTTACTGGGTGATTGTGACACCGTCTGACACATGTAGAAAAGGGATTCAATGCAAGCATTCATAAGGTAAAATAACAACTTTAATAAAAAATGTAATTATGAATTACTTAAAAGTTTGAGGAATCTCTTGTGTCTGCATTATCATTTAAGTTAGATAAGGAATGCAGGTAGTTTAATTATTTTTGATTAAGGCAAAATAGAATGCAAGTAAATAAAATACTTAGAATCCTGACTGAGATACTGGGATTTTAGTGACTAAAATCCTGAAATTCCAGGATTCAGAAAATTCTTTGAGATTTCAACCTCAACTAATAATATATTTGACATATAACACTGTTTTATTTATTATGTTATCATATCTTTAAGAGAAACATCTAACCTTTTCTCTAATGTCAAGGGCTCGTTTACAAAGAGGTTCTGCTTCTCTATACTTTCCTCGTTTCCCATACAAGACAGCTAAGTTGTTGAGTGTTGCAGCAACCTACAATACAAAACAAGTATAAAAAAAATTAGCTATACTATGCAGTAATTCAATTGTCCACACAATCTTTGAGCATAATATAATCAAATTTTGCATTCAGTAAAAAACAACTGTGCTCATTTGAGATCCAAGATGATATTATACACTACTTTGCTACAAGTTATTTCTTTTTATACAAGACGAAACTTAACTTTTTTCTTAAACTGAAAATGTATTTCTCATAGTTGCCTCCCCTCACACAAGGCTATCTTGATCATCTGCCCTCTAAGCATTGGTAAAATATTTTCATGTTCAGCACACCAGTCTATATACCCCAAAAATTTCACATCATTTCCAAACATGTACACAGTATGCAACTACTCTCCATCAATAGTATTGTGTTACCTATATTGGCACAGCTAGTTCTCTTTGCTATTCTCGCTCAATCCTCCCTTTTGAGAATTTGCAAGCTCCAAAAGAAGAATACTGGTAGTGGTGAGGAAGGGTGGGAAGTGTGTGAGAGGAGGTAAGTACCCATTGGAAATACATTTTCAGTGTAAGAAAACTGTTAACTTCTGATACAGTTTTACCTCCATTCACACAGAGCTAGAATCTCACATTGCAAAGGTGAAAGGGCCAGTCAAACCAAGCAGAAAGCAATCGCCCAGAATGAATGAGTGTGCTTGGAGATGAAAACAAAGCACACTTGTGGGGTACCACACTACTTCTGGAACAGGTGTCATCTTCGCCCTTGAAGTAGGAAATTAATTCGATACAGGCAAAAAAATAAGGATGTGTACAAGTGCAATGTGCTCTGAGAGGTGCAATACATTGTAAAATATAAACAGAATTAGCAACATCTATTCACAACCTCAACTGCACAGACGAGGTTCCATAACTCATCCTCGAGATTAGGAGAATGAGGATAAATATATATGGTAACATACTATTATACATTGTAACAAAACATAGTGGCTAGGGCATGTGAACCTTTTATATGTACCCATCAACCCCAACTTTAAGTAAGCACGGTGTCCTATGTCAAGCAACTGAAATTATGAAGAGGGAGTTAGCTTTCATCCAAAACCGGAAAAACTCCCAAAACAACAGCAGGAGCAAAAAGTACAACAAATTGAACCTGGCATTACGAGGTCATGGCATTGCCTCAACTCAACAGTAAGAACAGGGTAATATCTGTAACTGGTATTATAAGCAGAAATCATAAATCAGTTAACTGTAAATGCAAGGAAAGGGCATTCTGCATCTAGAATTATGCATATGTACATTCTGTGATGGCATTACGAGGCAGATGAAGTCCCCCAAACTCAACCATAGGAGCAGGGGAAGAACCTCCTATAACCAGGTAAGAAGGTCTGATGGATCAGGAAAGGAAATATGCAACACGAGGAGTCAGTCCCTGGGCTGAGGCAATGGACCTGACAAAAACCACGAGTGAAAACATAGTTTGGTAACATCTGGATGAACAATATCCAACTGAAGTTGATAGAGTAGAGATAGGGTAGGGGAGGTCATGCAAGTAAAGGTAAGAGCAGAAGAAACCAAAGCTACGACAGCCAATACAGAGCCGCAAGTAGAACTAGACAAGTAGTGGTTTGGATTAGGGGTAGAACTCTGGAGAGGAGTCAAATAGGAGGGTAAAGCATACCTGACCAGGCAAAACTCACCACAGGTCATAGACAGCCTCTGTAAGACAACCAAGAGAAGAAGGATCCCAAGGAGGCGGGAAATTAATAGGGGAATGGGAAAGGGGTGGACACCAGAACTTAAGGCAAAGACTCCAGAGAATATGTGGCCAGAGAAGACAAGGAGGAATGCAATCTAGAAAGATGGCCTAATGTAGATCACCCCGGGGTAAATGGGGAAGATGCACTCCTGCAAGTAAGGCATCCCTCCCCAACAAGTCCCAACAACACAGGACCCAGGTATTGAGGGAAAGGGCACATGCTGATAAACAAGCCATAGTGGACCAAAAAAGGGTAAGTATAGACATGAAGACCCCTCCAAACTTGACTGAATGCATCCACCCCCAGAACTAACAGGTGTGAAACAGGAGACCAAAAGAAGGAAGTTTGGCATTCTAGTGGGTAGCAAAGGCATTGATATTAGGTATTCCCAGCTGAGAACACATCCACCAAAAGACCTGAAGATTGAGTGATCATTTTGTGGGGACGAGTTTATCGATCTGCAACCAGATTCAGTGCACCAGGAACATGGCAAGATAAGACAACAATGTGGTGACTGTGGGCTTAGAAAAGGAGATCCAGAGTCTGAAATCACAGAGACCTGGATTTGGTACCTCCTAGCTTGGTGATACAAGTGACAAAAGTGGAGTTGTCAGAGTGGATCATAGCCACCCTCCCCTGTAGAAGAGGAAGGAAGTGGGACAAAGCTTAATGAACTGCCATAAGTTTGAGAATGTCAATATGGAGGGCAGAATCTTCAACCAACCAGAAGCCAGAATTCTCCCAAGAGTCTAGGGAAGCATCACAACCCTCTAAAGATGCATCTGTGAACAGATATAAAACTGGATGAGGTAAAGGAAGTGGATGATCTGCCATGGCCTGGGCCCTATTGAGCCACCAAGCCAGGTCAGCCCTGATCTCAGAAGAAAAGGTAAGAGGGCATCCCAAAGGATCCACTGATTGAGAAGCATCCATTGAAGTGAACACATAGGAGCATGACCCATAGAGATGAGAGCCTCCAAGGAAGCCCGCATCCCCAAAAGAGATAGAACCTCTCGAGCTGTGAGAGAATGTGAGGTGAGGGCCTTTGAGACCACCCGCTCAATATCCCAGAGACAAAGAAGAGAAGACTGGGCCTGACTGAAGTTAGAACTGAAGAAAACCCTCAAGTGAACAAAGTATTGAGTGGGGTTAAAAATAGACTTCTCCAACTGGATCAGAAATCCCACCCATGCTGCTTCTAGTAGGAGGAGATGAGTGTGGTCCTCTGACTGGAAATGGGAAGAAGTGAGTAGGAGCCAGTAATCCATGCAATGATGAGTGTGAAGACCCATCAAGTGAAGGTGTTTGGTAAAAGTGAGTACCACTAAACAAAACACATAATGAGCAGAGGCTAGTCCGAGCAACAGGGCCCTAAACTGGAACACATGACCTTCATGGATAAACCAAAGAAAATGACGTGACTCGGAAGCAATAGAAATGTGAAGGTAGGCATCTGCACTTTGAACTTGGTCATTCAGAGTCCTGGAGTCCAAAGTGAGAGATAGAACTCCACAGTGAAGTGAGATGGGTCCAGATAAAAATTCAACCATGTCAGATCAATCATAGGTCTCCAGTCTCCCGTCTTCTTTGAGACCACAAAGAGACAGAAATAAAACCCTAGTTGAATGGGGCACACCTGCTCAATAGCTTCTTTTTGTAACAGGTCATGGACAGTCTCTGTAAGACAACCGAGAGAAGAAGGATCCCAAGGAGGTGGGAAGGTAATAGGGGTATGGGAAAGGGGGTGGATACCAGAACTGAAGGTAAAGATTCCAGACAGAACACATAGAATCCACACGACCAAAAAAGTAGAGCAATCTGGCCCCCACTGGTCTGGGAATCTCAATCGCATCACCTATAATGTTAACGTTGTTAAGCCCGGGGGCAGAAAAAACGAGGATAGGAATGGGAACATTGGGAGTATGGTAAAGGTCTAGGTAAGGAAGGAGGAGGATGGGAAGCAAAAACATGGGACATCTGAGAGGAAGAGGGAGGGTGAGATAAATGTGTGGCTAGAGAAGACAAGGAGGAATGCCATCTAGCCACATCAATCCTGGATTCCAAGGAGTATGGTAAAGGTCTAGGTAAGGAAGGAGGAGGATGGGAAGCAAAAACATGGGACATCTGAGAGAAAGAGGGAGGGTGAGATAAATGTGTGGCTAGAGAATACAAGGAGGAATGCAATCTAGCTACATCAATCCTGGATTCCAAAGAATCAGGATGACCCCCAAATATGGTATTGTGTAGAAAGAGGACCTGACATAGATCACCCCGGGGTAAATGGGGGAGATGCATTCCTGCAAGTAAAGCATCCCTCCCCAACAAGTCCCAACAACACAGGAGCCAGGTATTGAGGGAAAGGGCATATGTCGATAAACAAGCCATAGTGGACCAAGGGAGGTTCCTGAGCTCATTTGAAAAACTTTCAGGGGAGCAACAAAAGGCCTCAGACAATAAATGGAGGGAAGATGTGTAACATAAAATGGAAGAAAGGGAAAGGAGAATCCTTGAGAACTGAGCCTGATTAAAATAAATTGAAGCACCTGGTTTCAAGCATCACAGGAGTAAAGGACCCAATTGCTGAGAATCCAAAAATGGATCTGAAGCATGATGGTACGCCAAAGCATATTGCTCCAATAAACGAGGGACCAACTGAAATTGGTCAGAAAATCTCTGAGCATGAATTCGAAGAAGGAAAAACATAATAATCAGAAGTTGGAATGTCACTCAGTAAGGAAGGGGAAGCACCATAGGGAATAGGGGAAACATTCAAAATGCTACATACCTGATTAACAAGTTCTAAAAAAGGAGTGGGAAGTTAAATCTACTGAATAGGTGTATATTGTGACTAATCAAAATAAGAAGGTGCCAGAAAAAGGGAGTCCAAATTTTCTTCACCATCATGATATTCATACTCAGAAACATGTTCTGGTTGAAAAGAAGAAATTGCTAGCTGAACATATAACTTTGGCTGCCTGTGAATTAAGGCTTGTATTTCCTCTGCAGATAAAGCAAACCTGAGTCCTGGGAAGTTGTACCAGTAGCATTGTCGACTGTCATGGGAATTTACATTTCTGACACACTGAGCCTCAAATTCATACTAATCACACAAAAAAATCGTTGAAACAATTGAACTCAAACACTGATAAATAAAACTGTTGAAAAACTGTCAATTCATTTTTGGAAATAGCAACAAAGCACAATCAGAAACTAGTCACACTTGAAAAAACACACATCTAAACAATGTAGAGCCAATAGAGAAAGTGAGAATTGAGCATAAATAACAGGGGTAACTAGCTATGTCAATATGGGTGGTGAAATACTATTAATGATGAGTAGTACATAATATGTACATGTTCAGAAATGGTACGAAATTGTTGGGGTATATAGATTGATGCACTGATCGTGAAAATTGTTCAGCAGTGCTTAAATGGCAGAAGAAGATCAAGATAGCTTTATGTGAGAAGACACAAGTACTTATTGGTAATAAACTCTCAGTTTAATTTAAAATGTCAACAATTGTATTTACACTATTATGTTGCAGTTTATTTCTTTTTATATAAGATAAAATAACATATATGAAAAAAATTTGTTATGATAGAATTAATATAAGTAATAAAAAAGAATGAACAAAGCCACACTACAGTGTCATATATATATTTTCTCATAAATGACAAAATATTATACCTGGAAGACTTCTCTTTTGTTAAAATGAATACAAAAAGTATTATAAACAATGGATGCAAGTTAACATACAAAAAACGATATGTTTGCCCACATCCCAATCACAACACTTTCTGCTCAACTCACCAATTAAAACAATATTAATATGTTACCATTATCCCAGCATATGTACAAAAAGATTTGGAAATGTTCAAAGAGAAAAACTTAAGCTTGAGACTACTATCTTATTGGGCATTATGAGTTTTAATAAATAAATTCTGAATATCACAATGGCTGTTGAAAATGGGAAGAGTTTTGAAAACTGTCCCAAATTGAACTGTGTACATAGTATGTGTTAAACACTGTTTTTAGATATTGATAAGGTTCTCAACTGACCACAAAACAACCAACCTTTCCTAACTACAAGTGATCTGTCAAATTTATGGAACTATATATCTGACAAGTATATGAGAGATACTTAATGGAGATGAATACCTATAACGGAATTCTAATTATTTTAGTTACAAAAGAAAAACAAGATTGCAAAAACAATAAGCCTAAATTTAACACTTACAGCTGGGTGATTCTCCCCTAGTGTCTTTTCTCGGATAGCAACAGCATCATTAAGTAGGTTAGCTGCCTCCTTGTATTTGTTCTGGTCTCTGAAAGGTTATAAACTGTGGAGCATCACTGAATGAATTGTAACACTGTTTAATTATCTTAGTTAGAATATTTTAAATTCTATATGAATTTTATGGCATGGCTGCTAGTACTATATACCTTTCCCTCTTACAAATCCAGTCACAAAATAGAATTTTTCTCACATCATTTGCATATTACATAAAGCTTAAACTGTGTTTTAACTATATATCTGTGACTTGGGTCTCATTTCTAGTACAACTTGTTTTAAAATGTTAAAAGAGCACTAAAAATAAACCAACTTTTAAACATTGAAAATTTCTTTAATAGTTCTGTAAAACAAAAAAAAAAAGAAAAGAAAAATTTCATACTTTGTATGAGGTATGACATTTCTTCAATGTTATAGATGGAAATTCATTTAGTTTGGTGTTACTTTTAACACATTTACTACTTTTATAATGAGCTCTTATATTTTTATATTTTATGAATTATCAATAAGTATTACATACATCAGAATGTGCAATGTTTGCAGTTGATATTTTTCATACAGAAAACTAAGATACCAAATTGTTCACATTAAAAAACTGAAAAATTTAGTCTTTTACAAAACTATTTAAAACACTCAACCTTTTACATAAATAATTAACATATGCATATTTTCAAAAAAGAAAACCATCAAACTCATTCTTAAAAATGGAATCTAAGAAACTCAACCTTCCACATAAACATTTACTGAAAGATTATAAAATTTTAAACTTCATGATGGAAAAATGCTAGACTAGACAATTACAAACCTGTAAACAAGAGCTAAAATATTTAGCATAGTTGCAACATCTGGATGGTCATGACCACTAGTTTTTTCTAAGTCCTCTAGTGCCTGCTTACATAGAGGAACTGCAACTTCATATCGCCCTTGAGAGGCATACTGAATGACAAGGTTATGCAGCGTACGAAGTCTAGCAGGGATTTCATATCCGGCGTGTGTGGATGCAGTCATTGATGCTGACATTTGATTTGAAGGAGTAGGAGAATTAGCTGGAGAGAAAAATACAAAATATTATTCTGAAATATCTTATTATACATACCAGTGAGGGGTGTCATCGGTATTTACAATAACCATTATCCTCAAATATAAAATCATCATTTACAGCTCTAAAACTAATTATCATAAATATTACCATCATCTTTTCAGTACAGTAAAAACAGGTGTCAATTTTAATGATTTTAGGCTTTTTAGTTATTTTAAATCCAATAATTTTGTGCCCTGAACTGACATCTATTGTGATATTTCACTTAAAGAAACACCTGAGCTAAAACAATGATGTTTACTCTTTAACATGTCCACCACCTAGCTAATAATTAAAGCTATATACCTTGCATTGCATAAAAGACAACTGTGCTCATAAGAAGTCCAAGATGGTATTACACACTTGTCATAATTTAATATACATATTCTACTTTATTTCGCCAATTGTCTGAATCTAAAAGGCTTTTGCTTATATTTCTTAATAATATAAATACATACTATGTTGTTGTTGGGCTTAGGACTCTTCTACAGTATAAAGATTACAGGCATATCATAAACAATATATGTATAGTTCTCTTCTTCTTGTCCACTTAGGTGTATTCAAATATTTGATAATTTCAGTTGACAAGCCGAACTATCTTCTCTATTCCTATCACACTAGTATTCTGTGCATGATTAATTTACAATTTTGGCATGAGTTATTGTAATTGTTTGGTCTTCTTTCTTCTGAAGATCCTCTGTTCCTTTTGTCAAAGTGCACTCAGGCTGATTCAATTACTTTAGAATCACGCTTTGATGGAATAAATTATTATTCTTATCTCCTTTTCTACTGTTGGTTCTACTCTAACATATTAAATTCTAGGCCTATGTTGATCGTTAAGCCTATCACTTCTATCGTAGTTAACTTCACGCCTTTTCCTTTTGTAAGTTTACTTTCTTCTGCTATTATTTGTCTGCTGCTTTCACTTGTTTCACACTATTTATATGTTTATCACTTAATTGTCTGTCCGCCTTCTAAATTCTCGACATCAATGTATAGTAACTGATGCTCGATAGTCTCAAGATCAATGACTTATAAACACAACTTCCTACAATTGTCTGCTTTT